CCTGGTCTAGTCCTTGTTCAGTCTGGTCTGGTCTAGTCCTAGTTCAGTTGGTCTAGTCCTGGTCTAGTCCTGGTTAGTCCTGGTTTAGTCCTGTTCCTGGTTCAGTCCTGGTCTATCCTGGTTCAGTCCTGGTCTAGTCCTGGTTCAGTCCTGGTCTAGTCCTTGTTCAGTCCTGGTCTAGTCCTGGTTCCTGGTCTAGTCCTGGTTCAGTCCTGGTTTAGTCCTGGTTCAGTCCTGGTCTAGTCCAGTCTGGTCTAGTCCTGGTTCAGTCCTGGTCTAGTCCTGGTTCAGTCCTGGTCTAGTCCTTTTATCTTTTATTTGAACAGTGATGACGACTCGACTTTCTCCACGCTTTGATTAAGACACAAATTTAGACGATTTAAGTCGACGATGTGGGAAAAAAAAAAAAAAAAAAAAAGAGTCTAAAATACAATATGAAAAATAATTTGTTCCAATTAGATTTTGAATTTTAAATCCCGCTGAATTTCTCATTTTTAAACGTTTGAATTATTTTTATTCTGAATGTGAGTTAACAAAATTATATGTGAACATTATTAAAGTGTGAAAAAGTGTTTAAATCACTTTTTTAAATATTCAGCTCAAATATTTAAAAGCCTCAAATTCAAGAGTCAAAATGTAGAGTTTAAAATTCACATTTCTTAGGTTGTTGCTGTGAAAAGTCTGCTCTGTTCTCTGAGGTTTAGTCCTGGTTTAGTCCTGGTTTAGTCCTGGTTTAGTCCTGGTTTAGACCTGTTTCAGACCTTTTCTAGTCCTGGTTTCGTTCCGGTTTAGACCTGTTTCAGACCTGGTCTAGTCCTGGTTTCGTTCCGGTTTAGACCTGGTTTAGTCCTGGTTTAGACCTGTTTCAGACCTTTTCTAGTCCTGGTTTTGTTCCGGTTTAGACCTGGTTTAGTTCTGGTTTAGACCTATTGTTTACACCAAGATTAGACTTGGTTCAGACTTGGTTTTAGATCTAAAATAGTCCTGTTATAGAACTTGTTCAGACCTAGAAGAGTCCTTTTATAGACCTTATATTAGTCGTGTTATAGACCTGGTTTTAGACTTAAATTAGTCCTCTTATAGACCTGGTTTAGACCTGGTTTAGACCTAGAAGAGTCCTGTTATAGACCTTAAATTAGTCCTCTTATAGACCTGGTTTAGACCTGGTTTAGACCTAGAAGAGTCCTGTTATAGACCTGGTTTAAACCTAAATTAGTCTTGTTATAGACCAAGTTTAGACCAATTTTTTGCACTAAGATTAAATCTGGTTCAGATCTGATTTAGACCTGAATTAGCCCTGTTAGAGACCTGGTTTAGACCTAAATTAGTCCTCTTATAGACCTGGTTTAGACCTGGTTTAGACCTAGAAGAGTCCCATTATAGACGTGGTTTAAACCTAAATTAGTCTTGTTATAGACCTAGTTTAGACCAATTTTTTGCACTAAGATTAAATCTGGTTCAGACCTGATTTAGACCTGAATTAGCCCTGTTAGAGACCTGGTTTAGACCTAAATTAGTCCTCTTATAGACCTGGTTTAGACCTGGTTTAGACCTATTGTTTACACCAAGATTAGAGCTGGTTCAGACATGGTTTAGACCTAAATTAATCCTGTTATAGATCTAGTTTAGATCTATTTTTTGTACTAATATTAGACTTGGTTCAGACCTGATTTAGACCTATATTAGTCCTGTTTTAGACCTGGTTTAGACCTAGAAGAGTCCCGTTATAGACCTGGTTTAAACCTGAATTAGTCCTGTTAGAGACCTAGTTTAGACTTTTTTTTTTTTTTACCTATTTTTGTTTTTTTACACCAAGATTAGACCTAGTTTAGATCTAAATTAGATCTCTTATAGACCTGGTTTAGATCTAAATTAGTTTTGTTATAGACCTGGTTTAGTTCTGGTGGTACTCGTGGTAAAATTTTGAACCTCTGTTGTGTTCTCTGTTTTGTAAATTTGTTTTTTGCTGCATAACTCAGAGGTTTAGTCCTGATTTAGTCCTTGTTTAGTCCTGGTTTAACTTTGTTTAATCATCCTGGTTTAGTCCTGGTTCAGTCCTGGTTCAGTCCCAGTTTAGCTCTGTTTAATAGTCCTGGTTTAGTCCTGGTTTAGTCCTGGTTTAGTCCTGGTTTAGTTCTGGTTTAGTCCTGGTTTAGTCCTGGTTTAGTCCTGGTTTAGTTCTGGTTTAGTCCTGGTTTGTGTGGATTATCCGTTCACTTTCTGCTCCGTTCACATCAGGTTTGAGGAGAAAATTCCATCGTGTTTTTCCTTCTCGCGTCTCTTTTCTGGTGCATAACTCGGAGCATTACTGAAGCTTTAAGAGCGTTTCCATAAACCCGGTGACAGGGGCGCACCTGCCGGCGGGAGGTCACATGACCCGAATGCAGCAGGTCGCCACGGTAACAGTGTCTCTGCAGGGGGGACGAGGCTGTTTTTGTCACGACCTGACGACGAAAACAAGATCATCAAAATAAACCTACAAACGTCAGAAAGAACTTTGAGATAAGATTAGAACTTCACAAGATTTTTATTATTATTATTTTTTTTATTACATTATTTTAGTGATGTGATTTTTGTGAGAAAATAAAGTGATTTTATTTAATGCTGTTGTCAAATTTAAATGAATTCTTGGTGCAATAAAGAGACTAAAAAGGAGGCATGGTGGAAGTTCTAAAACTATTGTGTAGTGATGTCGAGATGAAGCCCCATGAAGCTCTGAAGCCAGTGCTGTCAAGCAATTTAAATTAAATAATTAATTATGATCTGTAATTAATTCATCTAATTAATCTCTTTTTAATCTCACGTATAAATTGCTGAGAAAAGCTTCAACTTGAGGTATTTTCACTCACAAACCGAGGCAAGTGTATTTATAAAGCACAGTTTGTACACAAGTAACACATGCATCACCAGTTTTGGACATCGGGTCAGGGAAGTTTTTCCCAGTTTACATTGAGCAATTTTCTGTAAAAGTGAGCATCAAACCTCCATGTTTGTTTTCCCAGTGGGACGTGTCTATTGTCAAAGTCGATCTTTTCAAGTCTTTTGAACCATTTCACTTTTGTTTCTGGTTCTGATATTGTCCTATTTTAGTTTTGGGATTCATTGTAATTGTGCGGTTGTTGGATCCTAACAGCGGAAAACAGCTCAAGAAATGAGCTTTGGAAGTTTGTGAACTTCATAAATGCAAAATCGAATCAGACGTGTGAATCTATGTGAAACCTCTGTTCAAACTGTTTCTCTTCCCAACAGAATTGATAAATAGTGAAAGGTGAAGGTGATGGGCAGGATTGATCCACAGGAAGAACCAAAAAGGAAACATCAGACTGACTAAATCAGGGGTGGGCAAACTACGGCCCGTGGGCCATATGTGGCCCTTTAAACCTTTTAATCCGGCTCGCCGAATTTAAATAAATTATAATAATAAACCTTAGTTTTATTTTTCCTGCATTACCGGTGTTTCCCAGTAGATGGCGCACTATATATACATTGAGGTGCGCAATGCTTTATGGGAAAGTGACAGGAGTCATTTTCGAGCGGTGTATTTGGACCATGAGTGAGGTAGAAGTGTTCAAGACATAAGGCTGCACTGTTTGCAGTTTGAGTGGGTTTTAAGCAAAGTCAAAGTTTTACAAACCTTGTGTAACAATTTGTAACACATGGAATGTCTTAGGTCTGGTTGTGCTGTACTGTCAGTGTTTACACGCGTGTCCTCGTGGCTTGGGCTCTGCTTCTCAACAAGATCTAAGGCTACGTTCAGACTGCAGGGCTTAACGCTCAATTCCGATTTTTTTTGTGAAATCCGATGTTTTTTCGAGGTCGTTCACATTTCCAGTTAAATGTGACTTGTATGTGACTCCAGTGTGAACATTAAATGGCACAAAAATGTCCTGCATGTGACACTGGAGACACGACGACGTCAACCGCAGCGAGCGTCTCTGTGTTTACAGAAGTTGTCCAAACATGGACGCAGCATCGAGCACCTGGAGATTTTAAAGTTCCTCTCGTACCGGAGCCACAACATGAACAACTTACTTGTTTTAAGGAGGAGATTGAGAAGGAGAAGGACGAGGTTTTTGGTCGTGGTGTTTTGTGGTTCAGTCCATTGAAAGGAACGTGTGGATGTGGAGACGGAGCCAAGAGTGGTGAGTGGAGATGTGCTTCACTTCAGTGACATGGAGTTCATTAATAATTTTCGCCGACTTCAGCGCAGAATAGTGACGTGTAACGTGTAGGTGGATGAATGTGACCTGACCGTTCAGACTGAAGTCACATGTCAAAAGATCAGATATGTATCGGTTTCAGGAGCACATTTCGAAGTGTCCTGGGTCACATTTGAAAAAATCGGATCTGTGTGGTTCAGACGGTCATTTAAAGATCGGATACAGGAACATAGGGGCCAAAAAATCGGATTTGGGTCACTTCAGGTGCAGTCTGAACGCAGCCAACGTGCTCATTCACGCTCGCTTGTGGTGTGCAGTGGAGCAGACCTCATTCACTTTTCGTGTATTCTGAAACTTGCGCGTCCAAGAGTCGCAGCGCGTAGTGCAGAATACGTCCTACATGAGCATAAATACGAGTGCAATGGAGCCGGGCTCTGAACTCGTCATGTTCATGTTCATGTTCAGTCAAATTTTAGAACCCAGTGTGGCCCCCGAGCCAAAAAGTTTGCCCACCCCTGGCCTAAATCATCCCGAGTTTGTAGTGAACATTTTGTATGTGGAACGCCAACAAAACAAAATCCCGATCCCTCACTCAACCTCGGTTATGAATTTAAAAAGTCAACGCCAAAGTGAAAGACTCCAACTGTTCACCAAGAAACACCTTCCACTGCAAAGAGACCAAGACGTGATGTTGCTGTAAAACCACAAGAACAAGAAAGTGCAGCTCAGTCTGTTTGTCTTCTGCTCCTCTACATTAACAAACGGGGTTTTGTTTTGTTGTTGTTGTGATTATAACAGAATGATTTACGAGTGTCTTACCTGGAGTTTCTGTGTGTGCAGGTTCCCACTAAGAAGCTGAAGAAGTTTGAGAAGGAATATCAGAGTCTGAGGGAAAACCAGCTGCAGCAGGAGGATCCCATCCACAGATACCAGGTCCAGGTTCTTTTTTTTTTACATATATACACACAAACAAATCATTTTAAACACACGTAAGCACAAACAGATGAACAATGTACATGAGATGACAAAATATAGAGGTAAATAATCGCTTCAAATAAAAAAAAAACAATCATGAAATGAAATGAAACGATGACACTTTCTTCAGAACGAACAAGAATTCACAAACATGACTCGACTAAACCAGGACTAAAACAGGACTAAAACAGGACTAAAACCAGGACTAAAACTGGACTAAACCAGGACTAAAACTGGACTAAAACTGGACTAAACCTGGACTAAACCAGGACTAAAACAGGACTAAACCAGGACTAAAACAGGACTAAAACAGGACTAAACCATTACTAAAACAGGACTAAAACCTGCACCTAAACCAGGACTAAACCAGGACTGAACGAGGACTAAACCAAGACTAAACCAAAACTAAAACAGGACTAAAACTGGACTAAACCTGGACTAAACCTGGACTAAACCTGGACTAAACCAGGACTAAACCAGGACTAAACCAGGACTAAAAGGACTAAAACAGGACTAAACCTGGACTAAACCTGGACTAAACCAGGACTAAACCAGGACTAAAACAGGACTAAAACAGGACTAAAACTGGACTAAAACTGGACTAAACCTGGACTAAACCAGGACTAAAACCTGCACCTAAACCAGGACTAAACCAGGACTGAACGAGGACTAAACCAAGACTAAACCAAAACTAAAACAGGACTAAAACAGGACTAAACCAGGACTAAACCAGGACTAAAACAGGATTAAAACAGGATTAAAACAGGACTAAACCAGGACTAAAACAAGGACTAAACCTGGACTGAACCAGGACTGAACCAGGACTATTAACATTAAGATTTTAATGATATAATAATTCATTTTTCACTTTTCGTTACAACACTGTGAGAAGAAACGTCACAATTTTACCGTTCTAAAAAAAAAGAAAGAAACTATTTAAAGCCGCACAATCAGACCTGTCCCCTCCTCATTTAGAAGATTATTTTTGTCCGTGAGTATTTTTATCCTCGTAATCGGAGTTATTTTTAAAGGTGTTTGAAAGTGGGACGTCTCCCTGATGAAATGTAAAAAAAAACCAAAAAACTGTCGTCTCTTGAACTTCTCGTGTGTTACTTTTGCCTCGTGCTGCGGTGTTTTTAAGGAGGCGTGAGGAGGATAAAGAGTGAAAATAGAAGGTTTAGTTTTTGTAATTAACCTGATTGTGTACAGAAAATATAAAACTAACCACCAGGGGTCAGTAGAGGAACACGTGACGAGACCAAGCAGCTGATGAACCGTAATGTTTGGAGTTACACTTTGGTTTGGTTGTAAATTTCTAAATGTATTTGTGTGGAGATGTTTCGCCATTTCGTTTCGAGGCAGGAGGTTACATCATTTCAGAAAAAAATAAAGCAAAACAAAAAACACACACACACACACACACACTCATGACCGAACGAAGAAAAACAAAGACACAAAAATAGTCAACAAGAAAATCAAAAACAATAGAGTTTTTTCACAACAGCTGGAAGTGTCGTGATGTAAACATCTGTAACAAATACAATAATAAAAAATGACACAGAGAACTGGATTTAACCTTTACACCGTGAAATCAGTGTTGTACAAGTTCACACTTTCAGTTCATTTTATTTTTATGTATGTAAATAAATATATATGTGTGTGTGTGTGGAAATGATCGTCTTTCCCACACCACGTGAACGCACCTTTAGTTATAACATAAAATTTTACGAGACCAGTTCGACAAAATAATATTTACCGATAAAGAAATACAATTAATATTTTGCAGAATTGAGCATTTTGTCCCTTCACAATATTTTATGTTTGTTATGATCTAAAACAGGACTGAACCAGGACTGAACCAGGACTGAACCAGGATTAAACCAGGACTAAACGAGGACTAAACAAGGACTAAACAAGGACTGAACAAGGACTAAACCAGGACTAAACCAGGACTGAACCAGGATTAAACCAGGACTGAACCAGGACTAAACGAGGATTAAACAAGGACTAAACAAGGACTGAACAAGGACTAAACCAGGACTGAACCAGGACTAAACCAGGACTAAACCAGGATTAAACCAGGACTAAACCAGGACTAAACCAGGACTAAACCAGGACTAAACAAGGACTGAACAAGGACTAAACCAGGACTGAACCAGGATTAAACCAGGATTAAACCAGGACTGAACAAGGACTAAACCAGGACTGAACCAGGATTAAAACCAGGATTAAACCAGGACTAAACCAGGACTAAACCAGGACTAAACAAGGACTGAACAAGGACTAAACCAGGACTGAACCAGGATTAAACCAGGACTGAACCAGGATTAAACCAGGACTAAAACAGGACTGAACCAGGACTAAACCAGGACTGAACCAGGATTAAACCAGGACTAAATGAGGACTAAACAATAACTAAACAAGGACTGAACAAGGACTAAACCAGGACTAAAACAGGACTGAACCAGGACTAAACCAGGACTAAAACAGGACTGAACCAGGACTAAACCAGGACTGAACCAGGATTAAACCAGGACTAAATGAGGACTAAACAGGACTGAACAAGGACTAAACAGGACTAAACCAGGACTAAACCAGGACTAAACCAGATCTGAACTAAAAACCAGGACTAAACCAGGTCTAAACGAGGACTGGACCAGGACTAAACCAGGATTAAACCAGGACTAAACCAGGACTGAACAAGGACTAAACCAGGATTAAACCAGGACTAAACGAGGACTAAACGAGGACTGAACAAGGACTAAACCAGGACTAAAACAGGACTGAACCAGGACTAAACCAGAATTAAACCAGGACTAAACAAGGACTAAACGAGGACTGAACAAGGACTGAACAAGGACTAAACCAGGACTAAAACAGGACTGAACCAGGACTAAACCAGGACTGAAACCAGGACTAAACCAGGACTAAACCAGGACTAAACGAGGACTAAACGAGGACTGAACAAGGACTAAACCAGGACTAAAACAGGACTAAAACAGGACTAAACGAGAACTAAACGAGGACTAAACCAGGACTAAACCAGGACTAAATCAGGACTGAACCTGGCCTAAACTAGGTCTAAACCAGAATTAAACCAGAACCAAACCAGGACTAAACATGGACTAAAACAGAACTGAATGAGGACTAAAACAGGTCTAAACCAGGTCTAAACTAGGACTAAACCAGGACTTTCCCACACCACGTGAAAACACCATTCACTTTTGCCAGTCTGACCAGCTCGTCTAAACAACATTTAAAGTTATTATAAAGAAATACAATTCATATTTAGCAAAACTGAGTTAAGCGTTTTGTCTCGGCCCTTCACAATATTTTCTGTTGGTCACGTGGCCCCTGATCGATCTAAATGAAGCGTGTCGCTGCTCGGAGACTCGGAGGAGGAGGAGTCTGCTGAAATTCCCGAGTTCAGGAAGTGTGGGACAGAGGCCGGAAACTCATGTCCAGGTCATGGGTTAGTCTCTTGTGAGCGTTAGTCTTCCCTCTGAGTGGAAGTATTGTTTTTGTCCTCGCGCCGCAGCGGTAAGACAAACACAAACACAAACACAAACACAAACACTGACTCACTTCGACGCTTTTTCATCAATTTTTGGACTGTCGATAAAAAAAATAGTTCAGGTTTTTTGTTTAGTTCGTTTTAAATTAGATTTTCAGTGTAAAAGTTAAAATTTACAGGTCAAAATGTGTTAAGAAAATTGTCTGTTTACCAGGGACTGAACCAGGACTAAACCAGGACTGAACCAGGACTAAAACAGGACTGAACCAGGACTAAAACAGGACTGAACCAGGACTAAAACAGGACCAAACCAGGACTAAACTAGGATTAATCTAGCACTAAACCAGGACTGAACTAGGTCTAAACCAGTACTAAACCAGAACGAATCTAGGACTAAACCAGGACTAAACCAGGACTAAACCAGGACTAAGCCAGGACTAAACCAGGACTAAACCAGGACCTGAACCAGGACTAAAACCAGGACCTGAACCAGGACTGAACCGAGACTAAACCAGGACTAAACCAGGACTAAAACCAGGACTAAAACCAGGAATAAACCAGGACTAAACCAGGACTGAACCAGGACTAAAACAGGACCAAACCAGGACTAAACTAGGATTAATCTAGCACTAAACCAGGACTGAACTAGGTCTAAACCAGTACTAAACCAGAACGAATCTAGGACTAAACCAGGACTAAACCAGGACTAAGCCAGGACTAAGCCAGGACTAAGCCAGGACTAAACCAGGACCTGAACCAGGACTGAACCGAGACTAAACAAGGACTAAACCAGGACTAAACCAGGACCTGAACCAGGACTGAACCGAGACTAAACCAGGACTAAACCAGGACTAAACCAGGACTAAAACCAGGAATAAACCAGGACTAAACCAGGACTAAACCAGGACTGAACCAGGACTAACCTAGGACTAACCTAGCACTAAACCAGGACTAAACTAGGACTAAACCAGGTCTAAATCAGGTCTAAACCAGGACTAAACCAGGACTTGACTAATCTAATTCCTGTAACAGGAAACAGATTCATAAACTTGTCAAACTTGTTGTTTGGGTAAAATCCAGAAAATCTGCTTCAAAACGACCAAAACACAAAGAAAGTGTGACTGTAGTGACTCACGTTATTGCCGATCGCAGGAAAATTCTCCTTAATTCCGCTACTCGTTTCACAATTTTATTACTATTATCCAACAAAAACCGAGTGTCCCAGTTTTTTTATTTTGAAAATCTGGTCACACTAAATATTACAGAATATTGTTAGTTTTGTCAAAGTGACACATACATGATCACGATGTTCATGATCCTGTTTAGAAGTTTTATTTTCAACAATTCAATTCAATTCAAGTTTATTTATATGTAGAATGACCAGATTTTCAAAATAAAAAACTGGGACGTTCATTTTTTTGGTGGTTGTTAATGATAAAATTGTGAAACGAGCGCGGAATTAAGGAAAACTGTTCCGCAATCGGCACTAATGTGAGTCAGTACAGTCACATTTTTTTTTGCGTTTTTGTCGTTTTTAAGCAGATTTTCTGGATTTTACCCAAACAAATAACAGTTTTTGTCGCTCTTTATTGTTGGCAGGGATCAAAATGGTCAAAAATAGAGAAATTTCTTGTATAAAACTGGGACAAATCTGTGGTTTTGTATAAATCTGCTGGGACAGAGGACACAGGCTCAAAACTGGAACTGTCCCGGTCACACGACGGTTTACACGAGCGCACCTCCGAGCAAGTCCCAACAGAGAGTCCTGGTTTAGTCCTGGTTTAGTCCTGGTTTAGTCCTGGTTTAGTCCTGGTTCAGTCCTGGTTTAGTCCTGGTTCAGTCCTGGTTTAGTCCTGGTTTAGTCCTGGTTTAGTCCTGGTTTAGTCCTGGTTCAGTCCTGGTTTAGTCCTGGTTCAGTCCTGGTTTAGTCCTGGTTCAGTCCTGGTTCATTCCTGGTTTAGTCCTGCTTTAGTCCTGCTTTAATCCTGGTTTAGTCCTGGTTCAGTCCTGCTTTAATCTTGGTTTAGTCCTGGTTTAGTTCTGGTTCAGTCCTGGTTCAGTCCTGGTTTAGTCCTGGTTTAATCCTGGTTTAATCCTGGTTTAGTCCTGCTTTAGTCCTGGTTTAGTCCTGCTTTAGTCCTGGTTTAGTCCTGGTTCAGTCCTGGTTCATTCCTGCTTCCGTCCTGGTTTAGTCCTGCTTTAGTCCTGGTTTAGTCCTGCTTTAGTCCTGCTTTAATCCTGGTTTAGTCCTGCTTCAGTCCTGCTTTAGTCCTGCTTTAGTCCTGGTTCAGTCCTGGTTCAGTCAGTTTAGTCCTGCTTTAGTCCTGGTTTAGTCCTGCTTAGTCCTGCTTTAATCCTGGTTTAGTCCTGCTTTAGTCCTGCTTTAGTCCTGGTTTAATCCTGCTTTAGTCCTGGTTTAGTCCTGCTTTAGTCCTGCTTTAATCCTGGTTTAGTCCTGGTTTATCCTGTTTAGTCCTGGTTTAATCCTGGTTTAGTCCTGGTTTAGTCCTGCTTTAGTCCTGGTTTAGTCTTGGTTTAGTCCTGCTTTAATCCTGGTTTAGTCCTGCTTTAATCCTGGTTTAGTCCTGGTTTAGTCCTGCTTTAGTCCTGGTTTAGTCTTGCTTTAGTCCTGCTTTAATCCTGGTTTAGTCCTGCTTTAGTCCTGCTTTAGTCCTGCTTTAGTCCTGGCTCAGTCCTGCTTTAGTCCTGGTTTAGTCCTGGTTCAGTCCTGGTTTAGTCCTGGTTCAGTCCTGGTTTAGTCCTGGTTTAGTCCTGGTTTAGTCCTGGTTTAGTCCTGGTTTAGTCCTGGTTTAGTCCTGGTTTAGTCCTCAAAAACAGACGTGGAGTTGTGTTTTGTTTCATGTTTGAGTAAATCTTTATTTTTAATCTGTCTACACCTCCAAACCTCAAAACGCTCTGTTCCACCTTGTGATGTCATGAAGTGGTCGTTTTCAAGTTCATTTTTAACTTAAGTTCAGCAGAGATGCAAAATTCCAGGAGCTGAAATGATCCACATGATGTTTTTAAATGTTTTTAAGGAGGGAACAACATTAGAACTGGACTTGAAGCTGACGAGAGATAATTTCATGTAAATATGGACCATTTAAACTGTATTTAATGTTGATGGTGTTTGTTTTGTTTGTTTTGTTTGTTTGTTTTGTTTGTTTTGTTGTTTGTTTTAGAGGGAGAACAGACGTCTGCAGGAGGCCAGTATGAGACTGGAACAAGAGAACGACGACCTCGCCCACGAACTGGTCACCAGCAAGATCGCCCTGAGGAGCGACCTCGACCAGGTACACACACACACACACACACACAGATACACACACACACACAGATACACACACACACACACACACATATATACAACACACACATACACACACACACACACACACACACACACACACACACACACACACACACACACACATACACACACAGATACACACACACACACACATATATACAACACACACATACACACACACAGAGATACACACATACACACACACACACACACACACATATATACAACACACACATACACACAGCAAGATCGCCCTGAGGAGCGACCTCGACCAGGTACACACACACATATACAACACACACAACACACACATACACACAGAAACACACAACACACACACACACAGACACAACACACACACAGAAATACACAACACACACACACACAGACACAACACACACAGAGACACAACACACACACACACACACAGATACACACACTCACACAGACAAAGACACACACACAACACACAGAGACACACACACACACACACACACACACACACACATACACACACACACAGAGACACACACACACACACACACACACACACACACACACACACACACACACATACACACACACACACACGCATACACAACACACACACACACACAGATACACAACACACACACACACAGATACACAACACACACACAACACACATATATACAATACACACACACACAACACACACACACAGAGACATCGCTCTGAGGAGAGACCTGGACCAGGTACACACACACACACAACACACACACACACAACACACAACATACAACACACACAGCACACACACATATAACACACACACACAGACACACACATAATCTTGTTTTTTCCTTCTGAACATTTTAGTGTCTGTCCTTTGAGAGAAACACATTCTGTGCACTATATTTGTTATATTGTGTTGATGTTGTTGTGTGTCTGTGTGTTTGTGTGTTCATGTTGTTGTGTGTTTGTGCGTTGATGTTGTGTGTTTGTGCGTTGATGTTGTGTGTTTGTGCGTTGATGTTGTGTGTTTGTGTGTTCATGTTGTGTGTTTGTGTGTTCATGTTGTGTGTTTGTATGTTCATGTTGTTGTGTGTTTGTGCGTTGATGTTGTGTGTTTGTGCGTTGATGTTGTGTGTTTGTGCGTCGATGTTGTGTGTTTGTGTGTTCATGTGTGTGTCATGTTGTGTGTTGTGTTTGTGTGTTTGTGTGTTGTGTGTTGTTGTGTTTGTTGTGTGTTTGTTGTGTGTTGTGTGTTGTGTTTGTATGTTGTGTGTTTGTATGTTTGTATGTTCATGTTGTTGATGTTGTTGTGTGTTTGTGTGTTCATGTTGTGTGTTTGTGTGTTGATGTTGTGTGTTTGTGTGTTCATGTTGTGTGTTTGTGTGTTCATGTTGTGTGTTTGTATGTTTGTATGTTCATGTTGTTGATGTTGTTGTGTGTTTGTGTGTTCATGTTGTGTGTTTGTGCGTTGATGTTGTGTGTTTGTGCGTTGATGTTGTGTGTTTGTGTGTTGATGTTGTGTGTTTGTGCGTTGATGTTGTGTGTTTGTGCGTTGATGTTGTGTGTTTGTGTGTTGATGTTGTGTGTTTGTGTGTTGATGTTGTGTGTTTGTGCGTTGATGTTGTTGTGTGTTTGTTGTTGTTGTGTTGTTTGTGTTTGTGTGTGTCATGTTTGTGTGTTTGTGTGTTCATGTTGTGATGTTGTGTGTTGTGTGTTCATGTTGTGTGTTTGTGCGTTGATGTTGTGTGTTTGTGCGTTGATGTTGTGTGTTTGTGCGTTGATGTTGTTGTGTGTTTGTATGTTCATGTTGTTGATGATGTTGTGTGTTTGTGCGTTGATGTTGTGTGTTTGTATGTGTTGTTGTTGATGATGTTGTGTGTTGTTGTTCATGTTGTGTGTTGTGTGTTGTTGTGTTGATGTTGTGTGTTTGTGCGTTGATGTTGTGTGTTTGTGCGTTCGTTCAGGCAGAGGATAAGGCTGATGTGTTGAACAAAGAGCTGCTGAGCACAAAACAGAGGCTGGTGGAGACGGAGGAAGAGAAAAGACGACATGAAGAAGAAACGGCTCAGGTCAGAAAAAAACACACAGACTTTATGACAGAAAAACTCACTGATTCTCTTCTGTCTGATTCTGTATTTTTACTAAACACCAAACGCCGCACTAATATTTAAAGGTTGTATAGAGGATTTTCCAAGGAACGAGAAATCCAGCGACTGTTTGTCCTTTTTCAAATGTTGCGCATGTGTGAAACCACCTCCCCTCCCCTACAGCTCCTACGTAGAAACACCTCCTCCCTCCTCCTCCTTACGCCACAAACAGGTTTGTTTACAGCCGCTGCACATGACTTGTAAACAACTAACTACAGTGTTGGTTAGGCAAGGCGGAGAAGTGAGGAGCGGGGGAGGGGGGGCGCGGAGATTTCGTGCGCAGAAAAGAAGTGATGAGCAGGAAGAAGAACGAAACGGGGAGCGGGGAGAGGAGCAGAGAAGGTGCGCGGAGATTCAGTGCGAATGAAACTACTACTACAACACGCAGCAGCAAGCGGACTCTTTCTTTGCATTGAAAATTACGTTTTCAGACATAGGATATCACATTCGTGTCCTGAAAAACGTTTGTCTAACTCTTGGAAATAAAGTAAGTTTTCATAATAAGCAGAAGTTTCCTGTCCAGTGCGTCAGTCTTTAGTCCAGGAGTGTCAAACTCATTTTGGTCCAGGGGCCGTATCCAACCGACTTTGATCCCAAAGGGGCCGGATCAGAAAACTCATGTCATATAAACCCCCAAAATAACAATAAGTTCAAATATTTGTGCAGAGAAACACAAATCTATTACAGAATTTTTTTTTAAATGATGAACTCTTTCTTTTACAAAATAATGTTATGAACAACCTGAAACTTTAAGAAAAATACAATTTCAACACAATGTTTTAACATGAACTTGTTTAAAATTAACTTGTAGAAATAGGAATAATTAAAATTTTTGTTGTAAAATTCTGCACTCGGCTCCACTTTTCTCATGTTGGACATTTTTCTGATGAGGGTGTCACGGTCAACAGTCAAAACGATCGTCCTTTAAGAGCGTTTGGAAAGAGACAAGTCTTCATTTGTGCTGCTCTGGTGGGAGGGGCCACGTACAGAGACGCTGGAGACGCTGCTGTGATAAACACCACAGAAAATTAACAACATTTTAATAGAAAAGGCCAGATTAAAGGTCTTGGAGGGCCAGACGTTTGACACCTGAGCTTTAGACCCTTCGTCTGCTTCAGTCGCACCATCGCTGGAATGAATCTCCAAGAATCACCTTAGTTTGGCTTCGCTGCTTTTCCCCTTGTCTTCTTCTTTCATCGACCTCAAAAACGGACTTTCTTTTGCGGCGAACTGCTCCTGGATTCTTGTCGCCATTGCAACAAACTTTGTGCGAACTGCGAGGAAGATATAGGTCAAAAAAAGCCGCTAAGAACTGTTGCGTTGGTGGAGTAAACAGCGTCTGTGCGTCTTGCGTCTGTGGACTGTGTGACAGTCGTACGTAAACCACGTACCGGCGGCGCAGGCAAGTCAGTTACACTAGAAACGTAGGGAGTTTGATTGACAGCCTGTCAGCTCACAGATAACGAGGCAGTGTCGTTATCTATTGGCAAATGTTTAGCCCCACCACGTCCAGAGTTGATGAATTTTTATTCTCTTTTTTTTGGTCATAATTACAAGGCGACTGCATCTATAATCTATCACTGACAATTTGAAACAAAAAAAATCCTCCATACAACCTTTAAATTCTGTTACTCGTGACAATGTCCACGTGTACATGATGTTTTTTTAAATTCCGAATAAATTGTTCTTTATTAAAATATATTAATAATTATTCCGAATCGAGGTTGGTGCCGATGCTGTAGCTTTGGCAGGAATGTTCCGCAGTATGACATTAAACTTATTTACCTCCGTGGAGACCGACAGGCGACAACACGCGGCCCAAGTTACGGGTCAGATCCGTGGAAAGTGTGCTTTTTATTGTGTGTTTTCCCAAAATAAAAACGCCCATAAGTTGAAGAAATGCAAGTTTAAGTTTAATGCCGTATTGTGGAACATTCCAGGGAAAGCAGGAAGTGTGTCTATGTCCAGAAAAGTTACACAGTGTTTTTTGCGTTGCCTGAAATGTTCCTTAGTGTGGCATTTAAGTTTTAGTGCCTCTTACTGTGAGCGGGTCGCCTCTCCACAGATCTGACCTGAACCAGGACTAAACCAGGACTAAACCAGGACTAAACCAGGACTAGACCAGGACTAGACCAGGACTAAACCAGGACTAAACCAGGACTAAACCAGGACTAGACCAGGACTAAACCAGGACTAGACCAGGACTAGACCAGGACTAGACCAGGACTAAACCAGGACTGAACTAGGACTAAACCAGGACTGAACTAGGACTGGACCAGGACTAAACCAGGACTGAACTAGGACTAAACCAGGACTAAACCAGGACTGAACTAGGACTAAACCAGGACTGAACCAGGACTGAACCAGGACTGAACCAGGACTGAACCAGGACTGGACCAGGACTAAACCAGGACTGAACTAGGACTAAACCAGGACTAAACCAGGACTGAACCAGGACTGAACCAGGACTGGACCAGGACTAAACCAGGACTAACCCAGGACTAAAACAGGACTGAACCAGGACTAAACTAGGACTAACATAGGATTAATTTAGGACTAAACCAAGACTAAACCAGGTCTAAACCAGGACTAGCCTAGGACTAACTCAGGAATAAACTAAGACTAAACCAGGACTAAAACAGGACTAAACCAGGACCAACCTAGAACTAAACCAGGACTAAACCAGATCTAAACCAGGACTAACCTAAGACTAGACCACGTCTAAACCAGGACTAAAACAGGACTAAACAAGAACTGAACCGGGACTGAACCAGGACTGAACCAGAACTAAACCAGGACTGAACCAGGACTAAACCAGGACTAAATGAGGACTAAACCAGGACTAAACCAGGACTAAATGAGGACTAAACCAGGACTAAACCAGGACTAAACCAGGACTAAATGAGGACTAAACCAGGACTAAACCAGGACTAAATGAGGACTAAACCAGGACTAAACCAGGACTAAATGAGGACTAAACCAGGACTAAACCAGGTCTGGGATCAGACTGTAACTGAGACCAGGACCAGGCTCAGACTGGGACTGAGACCAAGACTGAAAACGGTTATTTTTTTCATTTTTCATTTAAACACAAAATCGAAAACTGAAAAAAAGAATCATTATCTGTTTTTGTTTTTTGTTTTGTTTTTTTTTGCATTTTGATTTTGGAGACAAATAATGAAGAAAATTGTTGTTTTTTTTTTCGTTTTCTTATTTTTGGTTTTATTTTGAAAAACGAATGAACGAACGACACATGGACTTAAACCAGCCACTTACTTTTTAAATCCTGAATAATCGAAAGTGTTTTTAAAGCAGAATTCTTCTTTATTTGGAATTAAAGCCTCGTGTGAACGTGGCAAGTGACGATAAATCCTCGAATCTCTCCCGATCTCATTTTTTGTTGTTGTTATTTATTTTTCTTGGGTTTCAGCTGAAGGAGGTGTTCAGACGGGAGCTGGAAAAGGCCGAGTGTGAGATCAAGAAAACCACCGCCATCATCGCCGAGTACAAACAGGTGCCGCAGTAAAACCAGAGACGGGAAAAGTGACGGCGGCAGGAAAAGTGAAACCGTCTGAAGTGAAGTTTGTGTTTTTTGTGTTTTTGTGTTTTTCAGATTTGCTCTCAGCTCAGCACGAGGCTGGAGAAGCATCAGGCCGCCACCAAAGAGGAGCTGGACATGGTCCGGGTCAGGCTCATTTATTTCATATTTTGATAGATTTTTTGGACTTTTTAAGGATCCGTTCAGACCAGAGCGGCGTCCGGAAGAAGGACTAAACCAGGACTAGACCAGGACTAAACCAGGACTAAACCAGGACTGGACCAGGACGAGACCAGGACTAAACCAGGACTAAACCAGGACTGACCAGGACTGAACCAGGACTAAGACCAGGACTAGACAGGACAGACCAGGACTAAACCAGGACTGAACCAGGACTAGACCAGGACTGAGACCAGGACTGAACCAGGACTAACCAGGACTAGACCAGGACTGAACCAGGACTAAACCAGGACGAGACCAGGACTAAACCAGGACTAGACCAGGACTAGACCAGGACCCAGGACTGAACCAGGACTGAACCAGGACTGAACCAGGACTAAACCAGGACTAGACCAGGACTAAACCAGGACTAAACCAGGACTGAACCAGGACTGACCAGGACTAAACCAGGACTAGACCAGGACGAGAACCAGGACTGAACCAGGACTGAACCAGGACTGAAACCAGGACTAAACCAGGAGTAGAACCAGGACTGAACCAGGACTGAACCAGGAGTGAACCAGGACTAAACCAGGACTAAACCAGGATGAGACCAGGACTAAACCAGGTCTAAACCAGGACTAAACCAGGACTGAACCAGGACTGAACCAGGACTAAACCAGGACTAAACCAGGACTAAACCAGGACTAAACCAGGACTGAACCAGGACCAGGAACCAGGACTAACCAGGACTAAACCAGGACTGAACCAGGAATGAACCAGGAATGAACCAGGACTGAACCAGGACTGAACCAGGACTAAATTAGGACTAGACCAGGACTGAAACCAGGACTAGACCAGGACTAAACAGACTAGACCAGGACTAAGGACTGAACCAGGACTAAACCAGGACGAGACCAGGACTAAACCAGGACTAAACCAGGACTGAACCAGGACCGAATGAGGACTAGACTAGGACTAGACCAGGACTGAACCAGGACTAGACCAGGACTAAATCAGAACTAGACCAGGACTAGGCCAGGACTGAACCAGGACTAGACCAGGACTAGACCAGGACTAGACCAGGACTAGACCAGGACTAAACCAGGACTAAACCAGGACTAAACCAGGACTAAACCAGGACTAAACCAGGACTGAATTAGGATTAACCCAGGACTGGACCAGGACTAAACCAGTGTCATTCGCGGAGTATAAATAAACAAATTTTTTTGTTTTTGTTTTTCGTTTTTTTTTTTTTCCGGACTTGACGAACTTTTAAAAACGTTTCAAAACCGCTCAGCGTGCCAGCAGTCAGCCACAAGAGCAGCCAACCACGAAAGCGCTGACGTTGTTGTGTTTGTGTTGCTCGTGTTTCAGAGTAAAGTGTCGGGCTGCGAGCGCTGCAGAGGGCTCTTCTCCTCCACAGACCCGCTCCGGCCCGGCTCTCCCAGAGGAGGCGGCGCTCACACGGAGCCCGCGGACGAGGAGCACGACGGGCTGAAGGAACAACTCCGACACCTGGAGCTGGAGCTGGCACAGACCAAACTACAACTGGTGGAGGCTCGCTGTCGCATCCAGGTCAGACCAGCTCACGGTCTGCACCTGGTCTAGTCCTGGTCTAGTCCTGGTCTAGTCCTGGTCTACACCTGGTCCTGGTCTAGTCCTGGTCTACCTGGTCTACACCTGGTCTAGTCACCTGGTCTAGTCCTGGTCTACACCTGGTCTAGTCTACACCTGGTCTAGTCCTGGTCTACACCTGGTCTAGTCCTGGTCTAGTCCTGGTCTACACCTGGTCTACACCTGGTCTACACCTGGTCTACACCTGGTCTAGGTCTTGGTCTAGTCCTGGTCTACACCTGGTCTACACCTGGTCTAGTCCTGGTTTAGTCCTGGTCTAGTCCTGGTTTAGACCTGGTTTAGACCTGGTTTAGGCCTGGTTTAGACCTGGTTTAGACCTGGTTTAGACCTGATTTTAGACCTGGTTTAGACCTGGTTTAGACCTATTTTTAGTCCTGGTTTAGACCTGGTTTAGACCTGGTTTAGGCCTGGTTTAGACCTAGTTTAGTCCTGGTTTAGACCTGGTTTAGACCTGGTTTAGGCCTGGTTTAGACCTGGTTTAGTCCTGGTTCATTTCTGGTTTAGTCCTGTCTTAGATCTGGTTCAGTTCTGGTTTAGTCTTGGTTTAGACCTGTTTTAGGCCTGGTCTAGACCTGGTTTAGACCTAGTTTAGTCCTGGTTAATCTGGTTTTAGACCTGGTTTAGTCCTGGTTCAGTCCTGGTTCAGTCCTGGTTCAGTCCTTGTTCAGTCCTGGTTTAGACCTGTTTTAGTCCTAGTTTTAGACCTGTTTTAGTCCTAGTTTTAGTCCTGGTTTAGTCCTGGTTCAGTCCTGGTTTAGACCTGGTTTAGTCCTGGTTTAGACCTGGTTTAGACCTTTTTTAGACCTGTTTTAGTCCTAGTTTTAGTCCTGGTTCAGTCCTGGTTCAGTGCCTAGTTTTAGACCTGTTTTAGTCCTGGTTTAGTCCCGGTCTTTTATCCGTGTTGTGTTTGTGTTTGTTCAGGAGCTGGAGCATCAGAGAGGAGTCCTGATGAGCGAAGTCCAGGCCGCCAAAAACTCCTGGTTCAGCAAAACTCTGGGCTCCCTCAAGTCTTCCTCCTCTTCCTCTCCGTCCTCCTCGTCCTCTTCCTCGCAGCAGACCCCGTCCTCCCCGAAGGACGGCCCGGCATAACCCCCCCCCCCGGTCCCGGTCCGTCCCCTCGGTCCGTCCCAGGACTCTGCAGACTCTCCGGACTTTTGCAGCGTCCCAAAGTCTTAAGGCCAAAAGGAGGAGGAGCGACTGGTGTTTTTTTGTTTTTCCCTGGGCTGCAGCTCCGCCCGGTGGCCAAACGTCGCCACTGCAGGATCACCTTTTTTATTTACTAATTCAAAAGCACCGTCTGCAGCTTTAAAGACGCACTGTGGAACTTTTCCGGTGGGGAACACGCCGCCTGCTCGTCTCGCCAAAGAGCGGGAACGACTTTCTCTGGAATGTTCCGCAGTCGCCACGTTTACATGAGAGATTTAATTCCGAATAAAAATCATTTAATTCTGAGTAAAAATGTATTACGCTTAAAAAAAAAAAAAAAAAATGTTTAAATGAAAAATGGAAAAAAACGGAACCAGGACTGAACTGTTTTTAGTCTTGGTCTGGTCCTTGTCTCGGTCCCGGTCTCAGTTCCAGTCTGATCCCAGACCTGGTTTAGTCCTGGTTTAGTCCTGGTTCAGTCCTGGTCTAGTCCCGGTTTAGTCCTGGTCTAGTCCCGGTTTAGTCCCGGTTTAGTCCCGGTCCAGTCCCGGTTTAGTCCCGGTTTAGTCCTGGTTTAGTCCTGTCCTTTAGTCCTGGTCCAGTCCTGGTTTAGTCCTGGTTTAGTCCTGGTTTTCCCCTGGTTTAGTCCTGTTTAGTCCTGGTTTAGTCCTGGTCCTAGTCCTGGTCCTGGTAGTCCTGGTCTAGTCCTGGTTTAGTCCTGGTCCAGTCCTGGTTTAGTCCTGGTTCAGTCCTGGTTCAGTCCTGGTCCTAGTCCTAGTCCTGGTTCAGTCCTAGTCCTGGTTTAGTCCCAGTTCAGTCCCGATTTAGTCCCGATTTTGTCCCGATTTAGTCCTGGTTCAGTCCTAATTTAGACCTGGTTTAGTCCTGGTCTAGACCTGGTTTAGTCCTGGCCTAGTCCCAGTTCAGTCCTGGTTCAGTCCTGGTTTAGTCCTGGTTCAGGTCAGATCTGTGGAGAGGCGATCCGCTCACAGTAAAAACACACGTGTCTTTCAAGCCACTAAAACCGAAATGCCACATCACGGAACATTTCAGGCTCATGGAGACGAGCAGGTGGCAGACATACGAAGAATTTACCCAGAACTTTAAAGGCGCACTGTGGAACTTTTCTGGACATAGACACACCTCTCGCTTTGCCCGGAATGTTCCACAATACGGCATTAAACTTAAACTTGCATTTCTTCAACTTATGGCCGTTTTTATTTTTTGTAAAAGCACACTTTCCGATCTGACCCGTAAACTTGGGCCGCGTGTTGTTGTCGCACTGCGGAACATTCCTGCCGAAGCTACAGCGTCACCGCGGAGACGACCAGAAAAGTCCCGTAGTGCACCTTTAGAAAGAAAAACATAGAAAGTGCTTTGTAAGTCCTCATTGCGATCTTGTCATTTTTTTTTTTTTTTTTAATATTGTACAAATGTTTTAAAGCGACCGGGATTTTTTTGTACCGACCGGATCCAAACGCCTTCGAAAGCACAGTTTGTGACGCCAAGTGACTAAAAGTGTAAATACGTTTTATTTTCGACAACGGTTTTATTTCCCAACGTCGAGAAGGAGTTCGAACGTCGACGGGGGGGAATTCGCTTCACGGTTCGTTCGTTGACGTCTCGAAATCGTACAAAATCGCACCGTGTCTTTAAAAAAAATTTTAAAAACTGTAAAGAAGAGGACTGAAGGAAAGCGACGTCAGCTCCAGTCAAATGAAGCTCATCGAGGGTGAATTTAGAGCTCCTTAGAAGGAATAGGTCAGGATTTACGGACAAAATACCGAAATAAAAACGCCGGGGTCATGAAGAGCAGGTGAATACGAACATTTTAAGACCAAAATAAGGAGTCTGACAGCAGCATGTACGGAGAAAGAGGCCACGTTTTCTCAATACGAAGTGGAACGGAGCCGGAAGTGCGTCCATTAAGCTGCATCATTTGCCCCAATGTCAGAAATTTCAACTTGTACCCAATTTTAAAATGTGACAACACCAGTTAAAATAAAATCTGTGGAATATTTGCTCAAGTGAATAAAATCTACTGGGTCCAACAAGACTCTTAAGTTAACGGTGTCCACAAGGCTCTGGCCGAAAAATCTGTTTTTCTCAAAAAACTCTAAAAATAATAAATTTAGGGCCGTGGTGGATTTCCAAATATGGTCGGTTCCTGGTTGCAGATTTGGCCTCGATGAGCTTCGTTTGGCTGCTTTGGGACGCCGCGGGTGACGTCACGCTCACTTCGTCCACTTCTTCGAACGGTTTACGGTTGAAACTTCTCGCCGTTTTAGTTGTAAGGACGTAAATTGCGAAACGTTTGTTCGAGACGAAGTTCGTTTTGAAGATTTTTAGTTTTTTTTTTTAATCCAGCCAAATGTTCGGTTGTAGTTTCCACTGCTTCCTTTTTTCTCCCGTCCAGGCAAAAATGTGCGGACTTCCCCCTCCCCAGACACCTCCTCTGGCGATGCTCAGCGTGGAGGAGCAGCGACTCTACTCCGAGCTCCACCTGTCGACCGTTTTCTTTTCGTTAAACCTGATTTTCACTGTGTCATTATTCACCACGATGAGTTTCTAAACGCTTTTCAGAGACCAGAGTGGGGAAAGTTATCAACAACTACCATGCTAACGTGCACTTCCTGATTATCGGGCAAGAAAAAGCGTTATAATTAGCTGCGGAAAGTACACAGGGAGTTATTTTGACCTCAAGAGCTGCTTAATGAAAATATCTGTTCTGGGGAAAGTCACGTTTTGCTCAAATACATGAAAAAAAAATAAAAATAAAAATCAGGTACAGTTTTTTTTCACCGTAATGTGCCATAATTGTTCATCAGTCCAAATGTTGTGACAAATTGGTGTTAAGTTTGTAATAATAATATAAGAATAACACACAAGAGCTCCGTGTATTATTTGTTTTTTGGGGATTTCAATTAAGAACGAAAAACAATAAAATGGGAAAACAGTTTATTTCATTTTTCCGTTTTAGTGTCAAACAAAAAAACTGATTTCGACGTCTATTTCAATCCCTGTATCGTTTGTTCATTTGTGTTTCAATATAAAATAAAATAAAAATAAGAAATGAAAACCCAACCCAAAATGAAAAAACTGATAATGATTTGTTTTTTTCTGTTTTCAATTTTGTGTTTCAATTGAAAATGGAAAAAAAAAAGAATAACGACCGTTTCCCGTTTACGTGACTTAAATTGCGATACTGGACTAAACCAGGACTAAACCAGGTCTGGGATCAGACAGGATCCAGACCGGGGCTGAGACCAGGACTTAGACCAGGACCAGACCGGGACTGAGACTGGGACCAGACTGGGATCAGACCTGCACCAGACCGAGGCCAGACAGAGGCCAGACCATGATTGAGACCGGGACCAGACCGGGACCAGACCGGGACCAGACCGGGACCAGACCGGGACCAGACCGAGACCAGACCAGGACCAGACCATGATTGAGACTGGGACTGAGACGACCAGACTGCGACCAAGACCAGACTGGGACTGAGACCAGACCGGGACTGAGACTGGGACCAGACTGGGAGCAGACCGAGACCAGAACGACACCAGACCGTGATTGAGACCAGGTCTGAGACTGGGACCAGACCAGGACCAGACCATGATTGAGACTGGGACCGAGACGACCAGACTGCGACCGAGACCAGACCGGGACTGAGACTGGGACCAGACTGGGACCAGACCAGGACTGAAAACGGTTTAGTCCTGGTTTAGTCCTGGCCTAGTCTTGGTTTAGTCCTGGTTCAGTCCTGGTTCAGTCCGGCATCTCAGTTCAAGTCACGGAAACGTTTAATGGCCATTATCCATTTTGTTTTGTTTTTTGTTCATTTAAACCCAAAATCGAAAACTGAAAAAACGAATCATGATCTGTTTTTTTTTTCATTTTGGTTTTGGAGACAAATAATGAAGAAAACTGTTTTTTTTTGTTTTTTGTTTTGAAAAACGAATGAACGAATGACACACAGATTAACTTTTACTTTCAAACCCGGAAGACGTTTGGAAACTTGCGGATGACGACTTCCTTTGGGCTCTGACACAAAATCTGGGAAAACTGAGAAAATGCTTCAGTTTCTTCATCTAGACGTCGTTGTAATTCTTAAATTTTTCCTTTTATAAATATTTTGAATTAATTTGTGTTTTATAATTTGTCTAACTCTGTTTACTTCACCGGAAATTCGCTTATTTCCAAACGTCTTGAACTGTTATCCGAGCAAAAGTTGTATTTATTTATCAAATGTGGATCCTTCTGAAGTTATCACAAAATTACTCCCAGTAAATTTAGATTTTTTTGTTTTATTTTAAGTTTTAATTTGAAAAAAATTCCCCAGATGTGTTTTTAACGGTAACACATCGTTTATTTAGATCGCTGTGTTCCTTTTATTGTTTTTGAAATTGTTATATTCACCATAACCATCATAACAGTTTCATAAGCTTCACTTTTGTTTTTTTCGTCTCCCGTCCGTTTGCTCTTCGTGCTAAGTCGCTCCCCCTCCAGCGCGCTTATAAAACTACAGCACATCTTATCAGGTTCGTGAAGACGTCGCGTATCGTTTTGCGTCGTGCTTTTTTTTTTTTTTTTTTTTCCTACATTTACGGAGAATCGTCGCGCGGGAGCATGAGTGGGTTTGAAAAAAAGGGCCCGGGAGAGATCGCTAGATGATTCAAACACGCATGGATGACTCTAAAAAAAACCTCTTCTCGCAGGTTTTCGTTTTTTTTTTTCTTCTTTAAATTCCAAGTGTTTTCGTCGCCGTGAGCGGATCGGACCTGTGACTCTGCCTTAAGGCGCCGCCCGCTCGACTCCGTTCCGATACGTTTTAATGCCATAGTGTGGAACATTCCGGTCAAAGCCATAACGCGTCGACGGAGAAACGTGACAAACTGTACGTTGTTCGTTTCGACGACTGAAGGGAGCGAGTCTGTACTAACCCCACACTTTTGCCATGTGCGTAAACCTTTTTTTTTTCTCGAGCACAGAACTTTTATTTTGTATTTTAAATGACTAATTGTTGTTTTAAAAAAAAGAAGGACAATAGCCAATTTGTATGTCTTCATTTGGTTTGAACAGTGCGAGAGTCGTTTTGGTGTCATGTTTATCGTACGATCAGAGCATTGAAATGAACAGAATCCAACTTAATAAACTCAAACTTTAATTGTGTCGTTCTCATTCTTTTTATTACCGAACAGTGGCAAAATAACACTACTCTTGAAATTAAAACAAGTGGAAATAAAATAAAATAACATATCAACAGTCAACTATTTTAATTCTGTCTTGTATTAACCGCAAACACGTAACATATAACTTGACTTTGTTTCATTTTGAGAAAAACCTTAGAAATGAGGGAACAAAAGACTGACCTACGGAAGCCGAGAGGGGTCACAACAAACGCAAACGCCACAACAAATACAAATGCGGCAACACAACAGAAAGCCACAACAAACCCAAAAAAAAGCCACAACAACCCAAAAAAAGCCACAACGGAAATGGCCGCGAGACTCTATTTTAATGCAAACGCCGCAACAAATACAAATGCCACAACACAAATGCAAATGCTGCAACA